CAGACTTTGCGAATCGCGCGATTCGCTAGCGTCCGCGGTCGCGTTGCGGTACCAGCCAATTGAGTGATTCACTGGCCGCGACGCGACCGCAGACGCTAGCGATTCGCAAAGTCTGACATCGGCCTTCAAATGATTTCCAGAATTTTAGGACCCGCCACACACCACATTCGAGCTACAAATTCTCCTCAATATAGCCATTTCAAAAATCCCATAAAGAGTCTCTAATAACTACAGCACCTCTCTATCACTACTATCTGTAGATCAATTTAGAACGACACCACTATCGATCATTAGTTCTGAAACCTTTTACTTTTTTCCGAAATTCTACCAAATTAATATCTGTGCATGATATTGAGCTGAATGCATCGAGTTCCTCTACCGCAAATATGAACTGAGTGACTGACAGATACATGGCTCATCCCAAACGGAATGGTCAACCTGAGCAGCTCACAATTTTACTTCCACCAGTTTCAATTTCCCTTGAAAGCACGTTTTATAGGAAGTGATTATTCTTGCTAATGCTGTCTTGTCGTCCGTAATTACGGATTAACTATGAGAAATGACGCCATGTGTACGTGACAAAACGCACCATTGCAAAAGCTTTCCATTTGTCGGCGAGAAGACGCTGGATCACCTCGCTACCGATCATGTCTAAATGCTCTGCTGTACTGCCATTGATGACGGTCATCAAAGCGGAATCGTAGTCTGAAAAATTGGTATTGATTTTTCCATAAGTTTGGGAACGCGAAGATGAATCCGCTTAGGTTGATATGCCTCCAGTGAGCCCATATGAGCATTTCCGGTACTAGTACCCAAGGCGCAATGTACCGCTGAGGGGTCAGTCTGTGGTAAGGCCACTAGGACTAACCACAAGCCTAACAGAGAGGGACGAATCCTGGAGGGAATGAGAATTGCTTACGCACCTCAGATTCCCTCTTCTAGTCCAAGCTTAAACCTAAACTGAGCGTTCCGTGAATCTGACGCAATGTTACGAGCTGCCCCCCCCCCTCCCCGCACCCCACACCAAGTGTCTCCACCGAAACGCCAAAAAACGTCAGGAAGAAAATTATGCTAAGGACTTCGCTTTAGGGGTTATCTATAGCACGTTCGTCACAAACACGCTATCTTATTTGGGGCAGGGGCAAGTTGGCATTAGTTTTGGTGCCAACATTAGGCTCATTCGGGCCAGAATGGCGCCAAATACCACCGGCACCAGAAGAGAATGTAATGTCCAATATTCGTGCTCAAGGCACTGAATAATGCCTACCCGCAAGTTTACAGTGAATCTGATGGGACAGGATTTGCACCAAATGGCGCTTGAGCACCAGGAGAAGCTGTTTTGTTTTTGTGATATTCAAGAATCTGGTGATAATGAATCATGCCAATTTTTTACTTATGCAAAAGATTAGGTTAGACTTTTGCCCAGAACCACAGGCTTGCACTACCCTTCAATTCCTATAATGTATGGTAGCGACAGGTTGGGACCAGGGTCAACCGTTACGTTGGACCGATATTGGAGCGACGTTGGACCGATGTTCACCGCTCTCCGCGCCGGCATTCACTCTCGCCACCCGCGAGCCGTCTGTGTCTCCGTGCGTACGTTCACTCTCGGCATTACTCTCGTCGTCGCGTTGGACTTTGTCCAACGGACGGTTGACCCTGGTTTGGGACGCGTGCGCGTCACGCGCGCAGCTGCAGGGGCGCTAGCTAGCCCAAATTTACCCAGAGCCTCACTTAATTCTTTGAAGCGCTTCATTTCACAGAAACCGCATGCCTGTTTAGCGGGCTGCTTGAACTTTTTCAGCTTTTTATACATGAGTTCTGTAAAAGTGAACCAGATTTACGACAACTAAAAAAAATTTCGATGAGAAACGCACTCGTGGATCCGTCTGGTTGTATAGTGTCCAAAGTGTTGAGCGGATACGCCGAACAGGTCATGTCGGAGAAACGCCAGAATTCCTAAAACGATCTCTTGAGATTTTGACAGATTCTCGTGACTGAAATTTAAGCTATGCAGCTACTGACTGACCACTTTCAATCAACTCCAACATCTCCTCGAAAATATGCTTTCGTCCGAGTTTTGTGGCAAGAGTGAGCGGTGTGAGACCCGCGTAGTTGACGACATGTGGATCGGCTGGCTTCTCGCCCAATGTCGTACCGCATACGAGTACATAGACTGCAATAGCTCAATGGATAACGGTGAGATTAATAATTAAATAAAGTAAGGCATTCAGCCACATTGAAGCCTACCATATTTTGTGCCGCGCTCTCGCCGTTCTGCGGTGGGTAGGCATTCGTACACCACCCTATCATTCAGCTTATTGAATCGGGTCATCTCGGTCATGCGCAGTTCTCAACGGACAGAGGGTGAGGGTACTACCTGAGTTTCTTTTCAGAATGGTGGGAACGTGCTTGAGGAACCCCTAAGGCCGATGACGGTAGGAGAGGGGTCTAATAAGCAGGTGGGAAGTCATCAAATTTTTGGAACATGCGCAAGATATTTTTGGAACATCGGCAAGTTGACCTGCCAGCGAGTCTGTTCACGAGCCGTCAGGTGTGGATTAGGAAACGCGGATTGCAATGGAGTGGCGGTAGTGGCGCGCAGACAACTTTGGGAGCGGTGCATACACCGTAGACAGCGACGACAAGCCAGCGTCGACGCGCGCGCGCTGAAAAGGTTGAAGCGCGATAGCACGCCGGATAACACCCCAAACCGAGGTCGCTTTGCCGATCCAACTATGCCCACTGCTGACCACCGGCTGATCTCCTCAACTGGTATTACTTTATTCTTCCTCAACCCTCCCTACAAGTGAATATAAACCATCGCGTAGCTTTGCGTAGGTTCACGAACCACGCCCACCCCACAAACCCCACCACTGAACATGAAAGTTACATATTAACACTGACCACATCGTGTTCACATGGATGACACTACATACTACTTCTGTGAAAAGTTGAGGAATGAGTCGTATCCCCCTAAAGGGAATCTCCCGTTTATAAGTTCAGAGAAATAAAAGCCCCTTTTGTCGTCTATATATGATAGAACCCCTTCATAGGTGCGTTGGGCAGACCATTCACTTTTTGTGTCCCAAAGGGCATCACCAAGATGGCGTACTTCATTGTGAAAACCGCTTCCGAATAACTATATGGCTTCCATGCCTATTGATTGGTTGCTCGAATAGTGAAGGCTGATTGAGTAAAAACTAACACTGCTGTAGCTGATGACACACATATGAAGTATGGTGTTCCCAAACGAGTCTTGCAGGTTCGGATTCGCTCCATACTGAATCAGCAGATCGTAGATGTCTTTGTTGGCGAAACATGCGGCAAACGCCAGCGGATACTCGCCATAGTAGGCGTAACCTAAAAGAACAATTATAGGTACCTAAACAAATCAGGCCTTCCTCAGGACCAGTCGTAATATTTTTGACATAAAACTGGGATCGATTGGGAAAATGTCTGTTCACAAGTCTTTCACCAATTTGTACCCAAGTCAATGTGAGAGTTCGGAGCACGGAACAAAGCGCTTCAAATTTCCGTCCAGCCCCGCTTAAGGCTGATGTCAGACTTTGCGAATCGCGCGATTCGTCAAGTCTGACATCGGCCTGAGGCGGACATTCACTTTCCTAGCCTTTTTTTTCATTTTTTCGGGTTACTGATAGAACTCACCTTGATAGTCAGTGACCTTGTTAGTCGCTTTGAAGTCTTCCGGGAGGAAGAAGTTTCCACAGGCACGTGCATTCACATCAGCGTTATTGGCCAGCAGCAGTTGAACGGTCTCGTAGTCGTCGTGCACGATCGCCAAATGCAAAGCTGATTGGCCTGGAAAAATCTTCCTTTCACTCCTTAGGTTCTCGATTTGCTTGGTTCTGAGCAATAGTTGGACCACGAGACGATCGCTTCCAAACCATTACTGTCGTGGCGCAACGTAAGCAATCGCTCCTCTGCCCTCTATCAGTCAGCCAGACCGGTCTCACGTCATTTCCCTGAGCCCTGGCAAACGAGACTCGGCTGAGGGATGGATGAAAGGCTTTTAGGAGTGATACAACACATTAGTAATTCCGACGCCACTAGCCCTAAAGAAGTGTGGGTTCTGGATATGGAGATTTCACTATGGTGTTTTCGAAATCGCAGTCTTAAAAAGCTTCCAAGGGCTTTACGATGTCGATTAAGTCCAACCAAATCATCTCAAAATGTAGCGTTTTTCAGAAACCGTAATTTCACCCAGCTATCCAAGTCCCATTGGATAACGTAATACATTTTTGAGCCATAATGCGATTCTGTATCTGAATGTCCAGACTGCACCCGATTTCCCTCCCCCCCCACCAGCTCTACTCTTTCAATGTATGATGGAGTGATAATTATATGTGCTCGGAAAACTGTGTTTATCAAATCGCCTGAACATTGGTTTGATATGCTTTCTTTCGATTTTCGCACCTGGGTGCACTTAAAGGTAGGGTGCACGTTAACTTGGTTGCTGATGAATATCAAAGTCATGTGGAAGTTAGTGTCGAAAGTGCAGAGCAAATCAAGAGAAACGTCCGAAAACCAACAGAAATCCATTTTAGGGTTTAGTTTCGAGAGCTGGACGACTGGGTTCACATAAATGTAGTGTGCATTCCTCCTTCCTCTCCGCCCTTTTCACCGCGAATAACGTGCTCTCGTGCCTCTCTGCTACATGGGCTATAGCGCACGAGAATGAAGGAGTTCCGCTGGCAACCTACTTATGGTTGAAGCGGAGCGATCCTCGTATGAGGAGCCAAAATGGACGATGTTGCCAAATCGCTTGAGCACTTCCTCTTACGAAAACCCTTATGCATCATCTGCTCAGACCCCTTATTTCCGTTCCATTAGGCTCATTCAAGCCAGTTGGACAGCCAGACTCTCATGCTTTTTAGTGATATGGAATGATTTGATCAAACGATCAACACTTTGAAATTCGCCATGTATTAAACTTCTGTTAAACTTGTAGTGCCATTTGAATGCGTTTTTGGGTTAGACGAGGCTTTGCGTAAGACAGCAGCTGCTGAAAATACATTTCCTTAATCAAGTTTTAGATGAGGGCCACAGGTCCAGGCAAAGCGACATGTGGCACCATAGCAGGAGAAGGCGCCTTAGTTAGCAACAACCAGTGAGGCCACAAACTTGTGTGGGCCAGTCTACACATTGCCCCTGTCTTCTAATCCCTCACCTCTGCGTTTCCTAGACTTCGCCTACCGTTTGTTCGCCGTGTAACCTCGTCCACCTGGTCAGCGAAAAGACACCTTATTTTCACTTTTTCACTTTTTTCGCTTGCCTCCACACTACAGTCGCACGCTCACATCTATCACATTCAATTTTGCGATTCCATTTTCAATACAACAACGTTAACGCCTAAGTTATCCGTAAAATGTTCCTTCAAGACAGCCATCGGGTGCAGACCAAGTACCCTCCCCTAATAGTTTATTTTCCTACTGCGATGTTGAAAAACAGTTAATCTTATCACATTCCCTTCGAGGCTAACCGTTCCCCTCCACGCTCCCCTCGAAAAGAGAGTCGATAATTGCCGACCTCGGCCTGAAGCAGTTCTTTGAAGCAGGTGCTGTTAACTGACAGATAATATGGAGTCAAATCCAATTATAAAGTTCTCGGCCAAACAGCAAAACAAAAACGGAGAAAATGCCACAAGTCCTCTGGGGGCCGGCCAGCCTACTGGGCAGCCACGAGAGGGTGGGCCTGAAACGACACAGCTTTTCCGTACCGCTTCAGCACATAAGTTAGTCAAAGAGAAGAAATATGGGAGTAAAACGAGTCGAAATTACGAAATCTGAAAAAAGAAGAGAATTTTCTTGCAACGCGCAGCACACAGCGCCGAAAAGCAGGCTGAGCAGCGCCGAAAAACCAGTCGAATAGAAACAAGGCTTTCACTTGATCAAAAGTTTTACCAATAACAAGTTTAAAAATCTTACCGAACATCTCGTCACCCATATAGATATCGTTGGCCAAGCCTGGATATCGTTTGAGCAGGATTCGGGCAATCTCATAGCAGACTTGTTCTTCTCTGAAATTACGCTGATATTGCCACGAAAAGCCATGATGGCCAAGTTTCCAGATAAATCATGAGTCATAATTTTTGTGAAATATGTGTTTTTTGAAAGATAATTCGCTAACTAAATTCTCGTGTTCTATCAACTTGTACCTAGAATCTTGCTGAGTGCTTGGTTTCAACTAGTGTTAGCCACTGTTTCCTCTAACTTTAGAAATTAGGAACTTCCTTTACAGTTGTTGGTGTATTTGAAGCAAAACCCAGGCAGAAAGTCAAATTCCGTGTGAAGGATTCCTTTTGGTCTGCAGAAGCTGCCCATAGAGGATTAAGATGTGGCACTCTAGTGCAGGAAGTGCTACCGAGGGCGCTAGAGCCTTGCAAAGACGGCTTGGCTCTCATCTCTCCTCTCCGCTCTCAGTCTCACATTGCTTAGCACAGCCGCACTACGAAGGTGGTGAGACCCTCAGGTCCTGACGAGGTCCTCAACTTAGCATTTCGACGACTTTTTATCCTTTTTCTTCACTGGCGGCCTACTTAGCACTGATTCTTCCCTATTTGTCTGCAACATCCACAACAGTTTGATCCTGGAACATGCCTTCGAGAAAGCAGCTATCCTTGCAGTATGGGTGGGACTGTTTGAGGTAGACTTGTTTTTATGAAGCACTGGGAGAGATGGCACAAAGTGTCCAGCGGGCCAAATTAATCAGCCTAAGAAATTGATGGCCACGTACGTGTTTCAGGGTACTCGGGCTAGCGGCAATTGCTTTCCCAACCTCAGATGTGGGATAGCTCAGCCAGCAAAGCGGAAACGTACCTGTTCAGCAGTAAATGAATGATGTTTTCCCCGTCGACACCACGTTTGTTCAGCTTCCATAGCGCAAAATGTTCCTTGAACTTGGTTTCCTGCATGTCCAAGTCCACATCGTTCAGGCCAAGTTGTACGTTCTGTAATAAAACGGGCATACACTGTGTGCTAAAGAGAATAACTGAACCGAGGCGAAGGGGTCTTATTTGGATCCCTTAAAAAGAAACACTCCTGGTCTATGGCCTTACCCTAATAAGGCGCTGGATCAGATGACTAGAGGAATCTCACCAAAATGCTCCCATACACTTAAAGGCAGTGACCACGATGGTTTATATGGCGGTGCGGTTTGATGATGTCATCAAACGTCGTTGGTGGGCTAGACACCTCACAATCAGTTCGCTGGGGGCGTGGATAGGACCGCCCATAACGCCTTTCCACCAATCACGTTCACTGACGTCATCAAAACCGCACCACCCTCCAGCTATCGTAATCCCTGCCTATCTCTCTGACACCTCCTTTATGGAAGGATACTGTCTTGTGTGGTACGGTGGATTTTGAAGTTTTACGGAGGGTGACATACCACGCTCTTCTTCCACTTCACATAGTCTTGAATTTTGATGAATTGCGGTTCACGTCCTTCACTGTACAACATCGATGTCATTTTCTCGTCGGTCGGCGAAGTTTCTCAGCAGCACCATCTTCACCGTCTCTTTCATAAATGCTGATCAGTTCGCCGCCTGAAAAATGTGATTTTATGAGATTATTGTACTGGAGAGACAGGTGAACCACAGGCGCTAGGCTGCCTCAGCCGCATAGGTGGTCGTGACTGCTTGTTTTTGTCGTAATGGTTGAAGGGGATGATGTGAAGAAACCAACTCATATAAGAGTAATAATCGGTTGCGCTACTAATCGATAAAAGGTTATGAAGAAATTGGGTGCGACACTAATCGATAAAAAAAATCAGTGCAAAAATCTAATGCCATTACCATTATGCAATATAATTTTTTCAACCAGTGGCGATACAAAAAATGACCGCGAATAATGTATTCGAAATCAGCGTTGGCACCCCTGCACAGTCAAGCCAAATTTGTACAAGGGTCGTAGGAAAATTTTCCCTTTGATCTTCACCATCTTCATTCATCGGGCATCCTAATATGCACTTTTGCCCTACTGTCTCCATGGCTGCTGACAATGCCTTGCCTAACCGAAATCGAGGACTCAAAAAATTGGGAGAAAATAACTCTCTGAATGACGGGAGCGTGCTGTGCCGGTGTCTATCCCACTGCTAGCTTTCGTACGGTCTTTGAGCCGACTCAGACTCAGATATGCGGCAAACCAATGCGAAGAATAACTGTCCATTATTAGGTACCCTTAATTTGCTGTCAACTGCTTTGATCCACACGCACGCTTCTGCCGTCGACTCTCTGAATAATCTATTCAAACAGGGTCAACCGTTACGTTGGACCGATATTGGAGCGACGTTGGACCGATGTTCACCGCTCTCCGCGCCGGCATTCACTCTCGCCACCCGCGAGCCGTCTGTGTCTCCGTGCGTACGTTCACTCTCGGCATTACTCTCGTCGTCGCGTTGGACTTTGTCCAACGGACGGTTGACCCTCTGCTGCCAACTCTTCTTGATGTTTGAGAACTCGAATGTCTTCACTCTAACCATCTCCATGAAATTTTCACGGACTGGCTCCCGTAAAAAGCTACCATTTGATACAGCTTCGTCCTTTTGAAGATGTTTCGATGCAGCGCTACACACGATTTATAGTGTGGAGAAAAAGAAGCGCTTATCATTCATTAAGTTGAAACTTTCTCTGGGAATGTATCATGCATTTGACTTCCCTGCAGATCTATACTGATAATGTTATTAGGATATGTATTCGCCTACGCATTGGACTAACGCCAGTTGGGTGTTTTATACTCTCAAGAAAGTCTGGCTGCTTTTATGTGAGCACGGAAGCTTGGTAGGTATGAACGGGGCTTCTGGGATTCGATTACCAGACAGGGTCGGTCCTATCGTTGCTACTTTTCAAAAAGTTTTAACGACCCCCCTCCCTCATGAAATGTTTCATACGACCCCCTCTCTTTCAAAGCTATTTTACTTCAAAAAATTACCGTCGAGCGAGGGGTATATACAAATTCCCTACATTTCCCTACAATGTCCATGTATTTTACCCATATTTCAACTGCTCCATTTTCTAGGGGGGGGGGGGCGCGCTGAAACGGCAAATTTTCTCCCGCGCCGCTCCCCACTCATCACATGCAACTTCTTACAACCGAAGCAAGTACGACCCCCCTCTACAAACTCATCAAAATACGACCCCCCGTTGCTACTTGTAGCAACATAGGGTTGACCCTGCTACCAGACCATAGTTAGTTAGCTATCTTCTGCCTCAAAGGATTTTGCACATATGAAGCTCGTCAAATAAATGTGGGAGAGCAGGGTCGGTGTTGTTAGTGGTAGCTGTTAGGTCGTGGTTTGCTGCCCGTTCCCATTGTCCTTTCTCCTCCAATCGAGCTCTCGAAAGAAACCGACCAAACGTCACACCCCTCCCCAGCCTAACATTTTCGTCTCTTCGTCTTGCAATTCCAGGCGTTTGCTTTTACCTGTGTGCGTGCGCCTTGTAAACCAATAGTAACATGCCGTCGGCGCTGTTGTTAGACGGTGACAATGCGAAATTCAATTCATGAAACTATGACGACATATCGTATTAGCCATATGGAAGTGCTTTGTTGAAAAACTTCTCAAAGCGGATACCATGGTAGCAGAAAAAAGTTCACCCTGAGCAGTCTTTTCGATGCGCGCAGCGCTCTCGCTCTTACTGGACATGTACAGATATTTGGAAGCGAGCTACACAAAAACCGCAGGCTATTATAGATCTGTGTGTTCATCCATAAATGTTCGGTACCGATAAACTGAGTTTTAAGAGAGGAAGGCTTCAATAACTACGCAACTTGCTTTTAGGATAGGGATCCGGATGACGATTTACGAATAGTTTAGAATTTTGTAGAAAACCAAACAAACATTTAAAAATACCTTTCGCGACGCCAACCCTATTTGTACAGGATGATTTTTCCTCCACGTTCGGTATAATTACTCCACGTCTCGTCTGGATCGGAAGGCCAACTAAAGAAAAATGCAAATATATCGATGCGAATTCTTTGATAGATTTCTCCTCATCTCTGCATGAAGAAGAATGCATTGTAAAATTTCAAGTTGTCTTATTAGCAGCAGAAAAAAGCCGTGAAAAGGATGACTGAATGGCTTTGGAAGCAAGCAAGAACAGAAGGAAGGAGAAATTTGAATGGATAAGACAAACAGATCAAAGAAAAAGAGAAAGAGACAGAGGGATGATTTTTAATAAATGCAGAAAAAAGTAGAAAAATAAAGTGGTAGTGGAAAATCTGACTGTAGGAACCCTTACAAAAAAAAAAAGGACATATGTGTCAAGAAGAGAATGAGAAAGACTCCAACCGAGGAAAGCCGATAAAACAGAGCAAGATAGTACGAGAAATAGAAGCGAAAAGATCGAGTTTCCTTACATTCGAAGTCGTATAATGTATGCTATACGAAGTTATTACGATCGAAGAGAATGAACGAGTTGAGTTGTAGTGACTGTGTGAGCAGAGAAACAGCCTGATAGAAGAAAAGGGAAAAGAAGAAAAGGAAAGAGGAGAAATTTGTCCATAAAGCCGATGTCAGACTTTGCGAATCGCGCGATTCGCTAGCGTCCGCGGTCGCGTTGCGGTACCAGCCAATTGAGTGATTCACTGGCCGCGACGCGACCGCAGACGCTAGCGAATCGCGCGATTCGCAAAGTCTGACATCGCCTAAAAGCGGAAAGGAGATAAACAGCTCGCCTTAGAACGTAGACTGACAAAATAACAAACGAACAGAAGCTACGCTTTTCACTGAGGCTACGAGGAGAGAAAATGAAAGGAGAGTGTAAAAAAATAATCAATAAATAGGAGGATAGTATGACAAGGAACTTGTGTGGCTGAAAAAAAAACCCAAAACCTCTTCACCTGAACTCCGTCCCCGCGTGGTTCAGTCTTGTGCCGGGAGGCTATGGCTCCCATTCAAATCGGCTACGTTCGTATTTTCGCCGCTGTTTCGTCGCCACTGAAATCTCATAGAAAAAAATCAGTTGAGAAAATGAGAAAAAAATAGGACAAAAGGCGATTATGAGTGAAATCAAGCTGGATATGTAATTTTTATAAAATAGTAAGATTTTGGGTGCTAACTTAGTTGGGGGGGGGGGGGCACGCGGCGGCGCGGCAGTCTGCTCGCCTGGCATGTTCGGAAATCCGTGGGCCAGGGGGAGTGTAGCAGTCTAGGGGGGGGGGGGGCAGTCACTTGACATGCGTGAAAAGCTGGAATGTTCGAGTTTACACTGTCTCGCTCGAGAGAGCCCAGGTGAGCAGACTGCCGCGCCGCCGCGTGCCCCCCCCCCCAACTAAGTTAGCACCGATTTTAAGACACCACGAGCAATGTGCGCCAATGTTCTCTAGCTAAGGTGAAAGATGGTGTTTAAAGGCACGAGTCGGGATTGAATTGACCGTTATTTTGCTTGAAAATTAAGGAAGGAGTGAGGAGGCATCAGTGTAGAGAAAAAGCAAAAAGCACCATAAAAACACTGAATTTCCATAAGAATGCTGGGTTGTGAGCAAAACTTTCCGCCCCAGACAGGAATCAAACCCGCACCTCTTGTTCATCGGACAAGTGCGCTACAAGTTACGCTACCGGGGCACCACTTCATCCCAGCTCAGCTCTTTGCTACTGAAGTGGCACTCAACATAAAAAAAAAACTTATAAAAACAAGTGCACACATCAGCTGCAGAAACAAAAACAAAAGTTAAATTTCCATTATGAGGCCGTTGGTTGTACGACGGAGAGAAACAGCGCGGCGAGGGGAGGGAAAATGCGAGAGAGCACGTTGTACGCAAGAGAGCGCAGATGGCACGTATGCCGCGATTAATAAGGATGGCAGGATGGGAGCACACAAGGCAAGGCCTTAGCGCTGTTGCGTCGCACTTTCGAGTCGCGACATTGTCGTGTCTCCTGCCCTTACCATTAGACCCTTTTTCTTAGTGCAGGGTTTGGCTCTTGAGACCTAATCCACTCATAGCTTTAAGTCAACGAAAGATCGATTCGCATCAGTTGTGTCCTGGTGCGTGGTATCGTTTATTACGAGGGTCTCCCTATATTCTGATGTATCCCCACGTTAATCCGACGTCCAGCTGCCCGTGCTGTAGGCATTCTGGTGACGTCGAGCACGATACCACCTGCCTGTGACATCAGCCACTGCTTCACTTGTTTTCACCCTACCTTTACACGAAGTAGGGGTCTGGTTGACTCACTCAAAAGCCGACCCTGCCACTAAGCGGGATAAACAATAAAGAAGAAGAAGAGGTTTGACCCACCTCTAGGTCACTACTGACACTACAAGAAAGAACGGCGACTCATTGTCACTAGTGCTTTTGACTTATTTTTACCACTTTTGTTCTCCGAAGCCTAGGGTTATTAAATTTTTTTTTTTTTTTTTTTTTTTTTTTTTTTTTTTTTTTTTTTTTTTTTTTTTTTTTTTTTTTTTGGAAATTGGGCCTACGGTCTCGTCCACATCGTTTCCAAAAATGCAACCAATCCGCCTTTAC